AATCCAGGGCAGATGAGCCCTACAGGACCAGTGGTGTGAGTGGCGATACTGGGAGGGTAGAGGGAGAGTGAGTAGGAAAGAGGGAACCGATTACAAGGAACTATATGTGACCCCCTCCCTGGGGGACAGACAACAGAAAACGGGGTGAAGGGAGACGTCGGACAGAGCAAGATATGACAAAATAACAATTTATAAATTATCAAGGGCTCATGAGGGAGGGGGGCGCGGGGAGGGAGGGGAAAAATGAGGACCTAATGCTGGGGGCTTAAGTGGAGAGGAAATGTTTTGAGAATGATGAGGGCAATGAATGTACAAATGCGCTTTACACAATTGATGTATGTATGGATTGTGATAAGAGCTGTTTGAGCCCCTAATGAAATGATTTTTAAAAATTCTAATATAAATATTATAAAACTCTAAAGAAATAAATGAATTAGAAATATATCTTTTTTGACTTACCTAGCATTGATTCAAAGGCAATGGGTTTGGTTCATTCATTTAAAATTTTATTATTTCAAAATGTAACCAATATAAGATTATTAATGAATTATTTTATGCTTTTTAAAATCATATATGTATTTATACTTAAAACATATCAAATGAATGTGAACCCATTTGGAATGCTTAATACATGGCAAGCAGCGATCCTATTCGGTCGCACAGGCACAATGACAAGTGCCACCTGGTGTCTTAGTGTTCTGTTGTTTTTGTTGGTGGTGGTGGTGTGCCCCTGAGTTGGTTCTAACTCATAGTGAACCCACATATAACAGGAAAAAAAAACACTACCCAGTCCAGTAGTAAATTTATAATTGTTATATTTGAGCCCATTTTTGTAACCACTATGTCAGCTTATCTTGTTGAAGGTTTTCTTCATTTTACTGACCCTCCGCTTTACCAAGCATGATGCCCTTCTCCAGGGACTGAACTCTCTGAAAACATGTTGAAAGTCCATGAAAAACCCTATTTTTAAGCAAGGTTATACTTATAAGTACAGGGGTTAGGACTTCAACACGTAATGTTAGGGGGCACTATTGTATCTACAGCATCTGGACTGAATGATGAGATGAAACACCAGCTAGCTCATCATCGGTACCTGGCTGAAATCCCCCTTCAGAGTCAGTCCTCGCTGATCCCAGCGGTGGAGAGAGAAGGGTGTTTTCTCGCACAGAGGATTGTAGCACCTCCTTTATTACTGAGATCAGTCGCCTGGGTGAGAGATGATAGCGGCTCACCTCCTAGCTGGTCTCCCTTTCCTTACAGCTCCCCTTTCACTCAGCCGTTCTTGCCTTAATGACCACCAGCACTTTCCCGCTGCTCCTTTGCCATGGCCGCCAAGGCTTCCTCCCAAGAGACCTTTATCTAGCGAGCCCACCTTTTCCTATGTCACAACCATATTCGGCTGGTTCTTGTTCTCCAAACCGGATGCCTTGGTGTCACAGTAGATGAAGCATCGGGCTGCTGAGGTTGGAAGTTTAAACCCACCAGCCACACCAGCAGAGAAAGATGGGCCTGTCTGCTCCCATAAAGAGTCCTCAAAGATGCCCATTGAATGCCCCTGATAGGATCAGTAGAGCTGCCTTTTTCTAGGCCTGGACCTCTGGCCTCCACTCTCGGTAGGCTTTTTTATCCTTGACCTTTTAGCTCAGGCATCATATGTGAGTGCTGTGAGGTGCTGTCAAGCCTGTTCCACTCATTGAGACCCCACGTAACCGACGGCCTTGCCCCATAAGGTTGTCAGGCTGTCATCTCCATGAGAGCAGACCGCCAGGTCTCTCTTCCACCGAGCTGCTGGCTGCCTTCAAATCATCAACTGTTGGGTCTGCAGCGCCGTGCTTTATCAGGGCTCTGCAAGGGCTCTTTCGTCTCTGATGACCTCATCTAAATACAAGCCCGCTGCCAGCCACTTGAGATTTGCTAAGTGATCTCAGTCATTTATTTATTTACCAGGTCCAACACTAGAGTGAAAATTCCTTGCAGTTTCCTTAGTGCTTGACTTGTAATAGACGCTCCATAAATACTTGATGATGGAATTAATCTTTAAATACCCAGGGTTTGGGGTGAATTGGGAGTGAAGATATCAATACTGAATATAGTTGTCAGGAAAGAGGAGAACCTGAGATGGATTTATAATAACAGATAGGATTTGGCTCATGGAAAATAGGTATGGATATTCTTCACTACCAAGGTCACAAAGCCCAGAATGAACATTCTATTTGTCACTTATAAATGCTATCCAATTAAATAGGTATCCTAAATAATAAAGTAGTCATGAAAACTTCCATCCTTTCTAAAATGATTCAGTCCATTTCTATATGCAGTGTAGGTATTCAAGAGGGAAAAAGTCTACATATATACTAATGTTAATTATGAATAAGCTATATTTATCCTTTTCTATCTGTGATAATTTTCATATTTTAGGACAAATGCCAAATGGAATGATCTTTTCATAGTGTTAATGTTAATATTACTTGTTGTCATAAAATACATATGATCGTAAAATGAATTTTTACTAACTCTATATGAACACATATTTCAGAGACCATAAATCAAGCACCTTTTATTAAATGTTAAGATGTAATTTTAATCTTTAAAGTTTAGATTATTATTAACTATATTATATAACTGATGATTATCCTGCTTTCTCAACCAATGAGATTATTGGTTAAATTTTAATGACTTTAGCAACAGTATCCTGGTTGCCCAACAAAGTGTACTTGCATAATTGGGATCATTTTTCTAATCATTCAAAATTAATCATCTCACAACTCCAAACTATGCTTTAAAAGTAGAAATAAAGCACAAAGTACATTTTTTTCTGTTTCTACTAGGTACATACATATGTACATACTTTGGGGAAAAAATTGAACTTCAGGTTTCTAAATTGCATTCTAAAAAATTGAGTCATGTAATCATTACAGCACAAAATAAAATTTCTTTTCCTTCTACTCCATCACTAAGCTTTTAAAATGCTTTTTGGTATGTCTGGTTTAGCACTCCGTTCAGATTATGTTTGTCTCTTATTGCATATTGCTTTCTCCTCCCATCGTTTTCATACCAGAAGTTCTCAGCGTTCTACTTCCTCCACCTATCTTTTCACATGCCAGAAAGCAAGGTAATTTTCAGTGACACCTTATAGCTCAATAAGCAATGATATGCTTCTAGACCTCATGATTATCTTCCTTCAGTAATAAAACACTCTTCTCACAAGACAGCGATAAACATGTCGGCCCGGGAAATAGCTTTGATTCCTGTTACATGAAAATTGTTTTGTAAAACCTAACAAAATTTAAATAATCAGTAAAGTTAGTGTTTACTTTAGATAATAAAATATGGAATGTAACATAATAAATACATAAAGTCTGTAAGTAGCTTTTAATGGGTAAAACCATCTCCAAGGTATTGAAACTATTATATTACTCTTCTCAAAATTTCTAAAGGCAATGCCAGTTCTCAAAGCTTTAATGAATAATTGAGTTCCCTGGCCCAGCTTATGATGAAAGATGGGCCAACCCAGAGTGTAACATTTGTCATTCATTCATTCATTTCTTTAACAAAAGGTTTGAGTGAATTTTCTACTTTAGGTATCTGTTCTTGTAGCTCTCCCTCTTGGTAATTTTGGATCTTCTGCTGATTAGCGTAGCTGGCCTTTAAAGACAGATCTTGAGCGTCCTCCAAATACTGACTTCTTCCTGAGGCATACACGAGTTTTCTGGAGGACTCTGGAAGTTTTCTTTGCTGCCCATTTCCCTTGACATGACAGCCCCAGCTGTGACTTGGTCTTTTCCAGTCCCCTTGAGTTCTTTTCTCTGGCACTAGCGCACATTGCCATTTGGGCTCTCCTTGCACTGAAGTCAGCCGTCGTGGATGAGGTTCTGGTGTGGTGGTACTTGACCCGTGAAAGACTCTAGCATCTTTTCTAGGGTAAACGTTGGTGTATAACCGTTCTTTGCACTTCTCTCTCGTTTTCTTTTTCTTTTTAAAACTCATTGAGTCACAGAGGAAAGAGAAGATTCTGGTGCTTACGTGCACATCCAAAGGGAAGGTGCAAATTTCTCTACTAGGAACCTCAATTTATGGTAGTGATTTACCCGGGGTACTGGTGTGGGGGCTGAAGTACCATATTCCTCATTCTGTGGACAGTCAGGGAAAAGCTGATTTGCCTCTTAGGCCAGCAACTTTGGGTTCCCCATTTTTTCTCACTCAGTTTTCTACTTGTATGCAACTGAAAGCATGGGTAGTAGTAATCGACTGATGGCTAGCTATCTCTCAAATGCAATGTACTGGATGCTTTCTTGTTTTCATGTGAGCACAAGGAAAGGAATCACTCATGCCATGTGCTAGAACATGTTTTTAGCTGCCATTGAGTTGGACCATTCATGGTGAGCATCAGCACTTATGGTACCCCTCTGCATGGGGCGCCCAGGTGACCCAGTCCTACACCATCCCGTGATCCCCAGGATTGGTTGAAGATGGAATCCCTGTCATTCATAGGGCTTTTGCTGGCTGGTGTTTGTAAGTAGATTGCCAGGCCTTTCTTTCTAGTTTGTCTCAGTCTGGAAGCTCAACTATTGTGCATCATAGCATACTCAAACACCCACTGACGAAAACATCATAGCTGTACACTAAGTGAATTAGCCAGGAATTGAACAGAGGTCTCCTGCATATATGGTAAGAATTCTGAGAACCACGGAAGCCTCAGTGTACTATATGTATTATATAAATATGTAAATGTAATATAAATTATAAATATCACATATACATTTAATGGAGTTTTAAAACAGCTTGAGACCTTTGTTCTTTTAGTGCCTGAGTTTTGAATCTTCTGCTCTACTTATGCTATGTGGCCTTTCTGCGTTACTCAGCCCCACATGCCTCTTTGGGGAAGACAGGCATGATACAACCCCTCTTGCAGTGTGAATTTCTGTGAACATGGTGAGTGAAGAGTTAATCCTAAGCCTTAGGGAAGTCTGTGAAAAACATATGTTTGTTTTTCTCTTTAGATGTCCTATCACATGACATATAGAAAGGAAAAGCTGTCTACAGTAATTGTTTATGGCAACAAAGCCAAAGTAAAGGATCTGACGCCTGGAGCGGACTACATGTTTCATATAAAGACTGTTAGAGGCAACGATTACAGTGCTGCCTCAGTAATGACAAAAGGAACGACAAGTAAGTAAAGCATCATAAATAGAGTCTCTGTTTTATAATCATATAATTCTTGAAAGTATTTTGTTCAGCATAATTAATGTTATTTTAAACATTGTGCCTTTTAATATAAACTTTGTATAGTTAAGGAAAATGATGGTCATAGGAATACGGCTAAAAGAACTCTCCAGAACTTGGAGCCTTATATGTCTAAATTAATTAGAAGTGTGTAAAGTCTGCTTTTTACCTGAAGTCAATATGCAAACATGTTTGTATGTATGTAGATATGGCACCTAACAACAGCATAGCATCTAGTACATATTATATATCATACTGATAAATACACCATTCATTTTCTATTGCAATAAAGTTTTGACAAGCAGAGTA